GGGTCAATTGCGGAAAAAGAAGACAAATGTAAAACTTTAGACAATAATAAACAAACAAAAAAACAAACAAACAAATAAATAAAAGAAGCTCCAAGGAATGACACCTTTTCCTCTACCATCATTTATGGTAAACTAGAGGTCTGGTGCACGAATTCGTGCACCAGTTGGGTCCCTCAGCCTGGCCTGCAGGATCCGGCCGAAACCAGCTCTCCGACATCCCCTGAGGGGTCCCTGATTGCAAGAGGACCCAGGCAAGGCTGAGGGACCTAACTGGTGCATGATCAGGGCTGGGGAGAGATGCGGGAGGTTGGCCAGCCGGGGAGGGACCGGGGGAGGGCTCCAGGGCATGTCCGGCCCATCTTGCTCAGTCCCGATCAGCCAGACCCCAGCAGCAAGCTAACCTACCAGTCGTAGCATCTGAACCTTGGTGGTCAGTGCACTGTAGGGAGTGGCTATAGGGTTAAGCCTCAGACTGACCTGTTGGCAAAGCCACAAACAAGTCCAGGTCGACCAGATGACCGGACACTTAATATATTAGGCAATTATTATACAGGATGGCAGAAAAGTATCCAAAGTTCATTCTTCAAATATTGGTGTGGATTTCATAAAGTGTTCATTTATACATGCATTATATTCAGTAAGTCAGATTTAAGATTGCAGCGTACCGAAGGTGCCTTGTCGGTGATCAGTTCCTGCCACCTCTTGTAGGGCGGTAAGTCCAGGTTGATGGTGTACCATGGCACCGGCCCCCGATAGCTGCAAGGAAAGGCTCATCATCTTGAAATGGTAAAGGCAGTTTTTTGATGGGGGTTAGAGAGTTTTATCTATATGGGTATGTTAGAGATATATTCTTAATGAAAATACAGAAGTTAGGCCCTGGCTGGTGTTGCTCAGTGGTTGAAGCATTGGCCAGCACACCAAAGGGTCTTGGGTTTGATTCCTGGTCAAGGGCACATATCTGGGTTGCACATTTGACCCTTGGCTCTAGTTGGGACATGTGCGGAGGAAACCAATCTCTTCCCACTATCCTCCCTTCCTCCCACTCTCTCTAAAAAATTAATGGGAAAAATATCCTCAGGTGAGGATTAATAACAACAAAATATACAGAGAAATTAGTACTCAAAATTTGCAAATGCGAATTTTCTGGTGCTTCTGTCCTACACTGTATAGAATCATAAGTAGTTTCAGAAATCTTAGACTAGAATTATACATTCTGGAATGTTAATGTGAACTGTGGATATGGGAATGAATCAATGTTGGTTCTAGAGTTCTGTGTAACCTGAGTATCACTGCTAGAAAATACCTGCCCTGGCTTTCCCTCCTAAGTCTCTGCAAAGGTTTAGTCTAAGCCTGGGACCCTCTCTAACTGGTCTTCTCAGTCACATTGCCTCTTAGACAGTCTAACACTTTGGCCAAATCATTGCTGGCTTCAGTAAGGTCGTCTTTCAAAACCCCAGAGTGGCAACATGTATTAGTTTCCCATGATGGCTTCTAGAACCTTTGCTATTCACTTAGCCACCTTCTTCTTCCTACTATACTTCCCTCTTCTCATTCCTCTGCGGTAAATCCAAGCCCAAGCACTGTGGGATCACCCCATCCCTCAACTCCCTACCCATCAATTTACACACAGCAATTTCTGCGGAGGACACAGCAACATCTTTCCCTCATCAATGGGCCTGGGCCATATTTCTTTCTGGCGGATGAACTCAACAACTACTCTCTGTTGCTATGGAAACATTATCTTCTGGCACTTGTTACAAAACTGAAATAGCCCCTAAGGGTGTGCCATTTGGTGATTTGTCAGCTTAAAACTCTGCCTGAAAATAGCCAGCATTTGCCCCATTAGTGCTCTGCTCCAGGAGGCATAAGGATTACTCTAGGACAGTGGTCGGCAAACTGCGGCTTGCGAGCCACATGCGGCTCTTTGGCCCCTTGAGTGTGGCCACGAAGTTTCAATCGCACTGTATGTGTTCGCCCGCACATGGTATTTTGTGGAAGAGCCACACTCAAGGGGCTGCAGTTTGCAGTTTCAATCGCACTGTACGTGTTCGCCCGCACATGGTATTTTGTGGAAGAGCCACACTCAAGGGGCTGCAGTTTGCCGACCACTGCTCTAGGACAGCGGCCGCTAACCTTTTGGACCTCTCGGACCACCAGTGAGCTGCGGACCAACGGTTGGCGACTGCTGCTCTAGATACGTAACAATGTTCCCAGGCTGTTAAAGTAAAACGTGACCTATACTTACATCTACGGCAGAGACGGGTTAGTCCCTAAGTCATGAGTTGTGCTCCTAGTTACACTTGTGTTGTCACGAGTTAACTATTTGATTCTCTAAACATGCTGCTGAGCTCGGGGCCTGGGGATATGTATGAGTTTTATGAAACTGTGAACCAGCAGCTGCTGGTCGTATGATTTGGATAGAGAACGAGAGCACCCTTGATTCTGGAAACAGATTTTCAAACAAAACCAATACATTTGTTCTTTTCAAAGCATTCTCAAAATCCCATTTCCTTAGGAAGGAATCTGGCAGAAATACCAGTGCAAAAATATTTATATTATGTAGATGTATAAATATAAGAAAATGGTGTTTATCTGTATATGTGTGTATACACATGTATAAACACACACTCACACAATGGGCAATTTGGAACCAGTTAAAAGCAGGGAAGGTTGGCCGGGCAATCAATTCATAGACCCAAATAAGGTGCGCAAAGAGAATAGGAAAAAAGCCTTGAACGTGGAAAGTTACTCATTAAATGTTCAATGAATTGGGGCAGTGAGACCAGCCAAGTGAGGCGCACTATCAACAAGGCACTGAGGACTAACATGCTGTTAGTGATGAGAGACAAAAAGGAGATTTTGGGGAGAGCAAACCCGAGGAGGGCTGGACCCTGTACCAGCTTTGCACTAACATAGAAATTGATTGGTTCTAAATTACTTCCTGCCAAAGATGTGCCTCTTTCTACAGAAAGGTCAGTAAAAAAAAAGAATTTAGTGTAGTGCAGTTTCATTGTACCTGGAAGGCAACTTTCATTGAGCAGAAAGAGCAGGGCAAACAAGGTTACCTGCCTTATACCTTTCCCTTCTTTCCCACACACCCTGGTACCCTTTGGGCTGGTGAGCTAGTCTCATGCCTTTCTCATAGACCCATGTAGCCAGCCACAAAGGATCTGAAAGCCACCCATATATCTAGACCACAAATATGAACGCTAAATACACTAAATATTGGCCGTACCTTTAGATTTTCCAATCCTGTTTTTCCCTTGATGGATTTGTTTACCATGCCAGGGTTTATTGCTGGAATGTTTCACCTGTAAGACCCTACACTATTTTGTCCCAATATAATCTGGTAGTTTATACTCAGGCACCACAGAAAATCCCAGGTCAGCTCTGCATTTGTGAGGATGAGTAAAATGCCTGTGGCAGGTAGAAGAATTTAGTGAAGAATGGAAATCTTCCCCCCCTCCCACCCCTGCCCCCTGTGATTTTGATAGGCTAGAAATGATCATTTTAATCATGAGGTATTTTCATGTTTGACCAGGGTCTTAGTCAAATGCATAATACACAAACTTGAGGAAAAAAATATTTGTCTTTCTTAGGATAAAGGACATGACTTAAATTTTTTCACTGCCATTATTTTTATGAGATCATTACACAGGGAAATGTGTTTTGATCATCTCATGTTTTGATATTTACTCACGTTGGTCCAGAAGGAGGGTAAGTTGATTTTCTGCAGTCTTCTGTCCACTAAAAAACAAAGAAAATGTACAATTTCAGAAAATAACAAATTGAACAGGCAATTTGCAAAAACTGTTAAAGCTTATGAAGACAAAATCAAGTATGGTTTGCCCTTTTAGACCATTTCAATGCCTCTTAATAGTCTTTTCCTCCTACAAAAACTTCGAAAATCTCAAACCTAAGTGTACGTTCCGTCTCAATTCCATCTGCTCTAGTGCCAGGTGTGGTAATGTGGCATTTGTATTGCAAATATATCATATCGTGCTGGGAAATGTATGTCAAATAGGTTGATTTATCACTAAGTTATTTGCTAGAATGTGATGTTACTTGAATTTATGAGCCAGCTCTATTGCAATCAAGATTTGCATCCCAAACCAGATTTTCAGGGCACACTGTCCAGGGCCCTTCATAACCTGGTCATAACTTACCCTCCCAGCCTCTCTTCCTGCCACTCCCCTTTATGCATAGCCACGTGCAACCGCGTCCTATGCTATCTCGCCCTTCCATGCCTATACAGGCGCTGTGCCCTCTGCCTACAATGCCTGTTCTCTACTGGGGGAACTTCTGGCTTTACCGTCTGAGATCCAGTTCAAATACTGACTTGTGTGTGTGTGTGACGTCGTCATCTACTTTCCATATGAAAATAGTCATCCCTCCTGTGTACTCCCACAGCATTTGCGCTCAGCCCCATTACCATAGTTTAGCATTGCATTATAATTATGTTTGTCTCTCTTCACTACCAAACATGTGCACCTGGAGGTGATGGCCCCGAAACACAGGCCACTGCTGAGGCAATGAATGAATGAGACTTAAGGAAGAGTGTTCAAGCTTAGCAGTAAAACAGAATTGGCTCTTAACAACACGAACAAAAAAGACCACATGGATTTAAGATTCCTTAATTACGAGGTTCAAGATAGCAAGCGTGTTTATCTTTCCTCTGGAGACCCAATCTTATACAAGTAAAATAATTTTTTTTAAAAGGAGGATAAATTCACAATAAACAGGAGTAAGGAAGGAACTACTAGGTCTGTAGTTTGAGCCCAGAAGCTGTCTCTGCAGGAAACCTGTGTGAGAATGAAGCGTTTGCATCTTGTTTTAACTTCTAATAGTTGGGAAATGTATAAAGTAGCTTGGCATTATCTGTGACTCTAACATTCATTGCTGTCAAAATAACTTTGCTACAGTTTCTCGTGTGAGTGCTGTTTGCCTTGTAATGTTGGGTGGATTTTTATTAAGAAACAATTATCAAGTATCAAATTACCAAAGGCGAATTCAATCATTAGAATTTAAATTGTTTCTAAATTATTACAATATAAAAATATTTGATATTAAATATCAATTTGATAACCAATATAAACTTAGCAAAAGCTAATTTCCAAAGCCATTCAATGTTTAATAATAGTGGCTGAAGGAGGTGCATCTTTACAAATTTCAGTCTCAGCCCTGAGCTTAAAAATCACAGTAAGACTTTCCTGCTGCCAGCCTGTCTAACTGCTGGGTGGCAGGGGAAGTCGGCATCTATTTCTTGTGAAAAGTCACAGAAACGAGGGTGGTTAAGTCTATGAGAGCAAAAGAAGTTCATGGTTGACATTACCTGTTCAATAGCACGATAGATTCAAGTATTTTCCATAAAGTGTTTGCCAACAGATAATATAATTCATAGCCACAACATTTAAACACCATTTTCACAAGTTTTATACATTTGTCCAACTAAGCCTTTTTCTCCTTCACACATATTTTTACCGCTGTCAATTGTTACACGTCACAGCAGATTCCACTTCAGGTCTCACGGAATGACTGAATTCTCAGCTTCTCTGAAAACAACCTTGCCTGCAGTTGTTTCATACAGACTAGTCATAGAGACTAATTCTTTACTCTCCAACTTGGCACTGACGCTCCAATACGTATCAATAACTGGTAACAGTCACGTTGAGAATCATTTGCTTTGTTCTTCAATTGATATTGATGATGCTGCCAGAGTCCTGAGCAACTGTTCTCACCCGAAGGCTCATCGTGCGAACAGGTTTTCTCAGGACACAGTTCTTACTGGCTGCCATCAAATGCGAAGTAAGCCACCACTGGTAAATGGCTCTCCTGCTTCACTAACCAATGAACTACCTGGAGACAAACTTTGGCTGCCTCCTCATTTCACTTTTAAAGTTTATAAAGGAATTCTGCTGTGATGAGATACCCTGCTTTACATCTTCTGATTTTTCTGATCACTTTTTTCCCCTATGAGTTGGGGATGCTGTGAAGACTGCTTCATCTTGTAGTGCCACCTATTTGTACTCTTTTATCGCAACTCTGGTGTCATTGCACAATAAACACAAGGGTTTGCCATCTAGCTCTGTAACAAGATGACCCATACTCCACTTTGCCTCAAGAGAACAACATTTCCGCTTCTTTTCTCATTTTGACATCATAGGTTTGCTTTGGCAATTTTTAAAAACGATTAAGATAACACGGCATATTGGTACAGGTGGCACTTATGCTGTTGAGTTAGAATTGCCTCATTGTCACTGAAGTGCCCTGAGCAGCAGTGAAAGGCTAGTGCAGCCACAGACAAAAGCAAACAAACAAGCGTGAAGTGCTCCAAAACAATGCCGTTTATGGTTCCTGACATGTGACTGCGTGCAATCTTTACATGTCTCAAAACAGTAATCTTCTTCTGATCCCCCCAACTTTTTAAAAATCTGAAAACGGTCCTTAGCTCACAAGGCCTTCCAAGAACGGCTGGCAGGTGGGGTCTGGTACCCCCCCATCTTCCCCGCCAACTCCCCGGGGCTGTAACTTGGGCACCCAAGTACCAACACCCACAAACCGTCCTTGGCCTTGCTAGACCATCTAGTCAGTGTCTTCAGAGGAAAATCCTTTGAGGGGCTGCGCATGTGTGAAAAGAGAGAGAGAGGGACAGAGATTGTGCTTCATTTTTTGCCTCAATAAGACCACATGCAGTTCTGTCTGCAGGGGTGGGGCTGGGGGTTTTTTGCCGTTTACTGGTCCCTCACTTAATGCTCCTTCCATCCTCACTGAATATTCTTACTCTCCTAATAACAGAATGTAAGAGCAAAAGAAAAACGACCAGAACTACAGGGGGAAACTGTAATATCAGAAAAGTATGGTTCAAATAATAAGAAAACAGTCCCAGCTACAATGGGAGTTCTGTAGGCTTGAAGAGGAATGAATGGAATAAATATTGAGAGAGTAAGTCAGAAGCCGAAAAAAATACAGGATATAGTGAGTATGGCATAGGTTTGGCTCCTTCGGCTGCTGAGAAAAAAAGAGAAAGCAATCAGAAACTCCAAGGAAAACAATCCGTGTAAGAAAGGCGTGATAGAGATATGAAGAAACAAAATTGCAGTATTAGTGTGAGTATTTGATAGAGTATATATTTGAATATTCTTTCGGTGCCATCAGAAGCTTGGCTTTAGAATTTCAGGAAAGGAACGTAATCATAGTCCACTGGACAATGACCGATATTTACAAATCTTTCACTTACAATCATGTTATCAATGTTTACTTAAGCAAAAGTATGTAAAGTATGTAGAAGGGAAGAAGGGAGAAAAAGGTAAGGGGTCACCCAGCCGGTGTAACTCAGTGGTTGAGCATCGAGCTATGAACCAGGAGGGCACATGCCCAGGTGATGGACTCAATCCCCAGTAGGGAGAGTGCAGGAGGCAGCCAATCCATGATTCTCTCACATCATTGATGTTTCTAGCTCTCTCTCCCTTCCTCTCTGAAATCAATAAAAATATATTTTAAAAAGAGCCCTAACCGGTTTGGCTCAGTGGATAGAGCGTCGGCCTGTGGACTGAAGGGTCCCGGGTTCGATTCCGGTCAGGGGCATGTACCTTGGTTGCGGGCACATCCCCAGTGGGGGGTGCGCAGGAGGCAGCTGATTGATGTTTCTCTCTCATCAGTGTTTCTAACTCTCTATCCCTCTCCCTTCCTCTCTGTAAAAAATCAATAAAATATATTTTTTAAAAAATAAAATAAAATAAAATAAAAAAGAAATACAGGGGTCAAAGATGTCCCCTTGTGCCACTTCAGTTAACGCTCTGCCCACCCCCGGAAAGCCTCAGGAAAGAAGGTGCACGTGTCCAGACAGAGGTCGAGAGGATGACCACCACGGACCAGTCCAAAGGCTCAGAATGCAGGGCCGATTCTGCTCAAGAACGTACTTTTCCTGTAGGAACTCAGCTTTTCTGTCTTCTTGGGCACACTCTGGGTACCGCCTAATGTTCATGGTTTGCAGACCCTGAGACCAATGAATCAATCTTTATCATTTATTTCTAGCTAAAGCCTCCAGACTCTTTCTGAGTTTGTTTGACACGAGCTATCGGGGTCTGTGGGGTCATGTTGTGGGTGCAAGGCCCGGCTCCACAAGTGATGGATGAGCAGGTTACAGAGCTGGTGAGAGAGTTCGAGTCCAGAGCCCCAGTCCCAGCTCTCCCTGCTCTCTCTGAGCTTCCCACAGAGATAGCAATAAAAACGCCGCTGCCGTTTAATTCCTGGTAGGGAGCGATCTGCCCTTCCTTCAGGGTTTTAAACTCAGCAAGTAAATGAAATGTAATGATGTTCATCTCTCCCTCATAATCATATCTGCATGGCTGGCCTGGGTTCCAAAGCCAATATAAAAACCAAACTGCAAGGCTTATGTCTTAGGAGACAACAGTGAGGGAAGTTAAAAGTGCTCTGTCAAGTCTTAGGAGAGGATCCAACCTGCCCCAAAGGTGAGAGAGTAACCTAGCCATCATACATGTAGGAGTCTGAGGTCAATAAGATATTGTACTATAATCATCACGGCTGCAATAGATAAACATGAAATTATAATGCAGGCATGAACTCTGCATAGAATCTGGCTGTAAGAATAAAAGGTTAAAAAAAAGTCATTTTAACCAATTGGATTGGGGCGGGGGATGGGGTGGAGACAGCTACACCCTCACCTAAAAGGTAGATTTCTACAAGGAAAGAGGGTTTCAAAATCTATGTATAGACTTACATAGAATTACTATGAGCACATTTATTATTTAAAGTATCTTGCTGTCTCCAAATTTAACTACACATGGATTTAATAATAGACAACCTTATCAAGGTGAGTACAAATTTAAATAGATGAGAGGTCAAGATTATACACGATGGATTAGGCATATTACGCCGTCTGCTCAGTATACTGTGCTACTCTGTCACCAGGAAAAAAAACACACAAGCGACTTAGAATTTTAGTCAATCTCTCTCTCATGCCCCTGTCTCATTTGTACTTCCTAAGACCAGCAGAAGTGCTGAAAATGTCCTGGGAACACTTTCTGAGTCAGTGAATTCTGTAATCATTCTGGTTATTTGATAGGAACTTGATCCTCTTTGAAATTAGTCTTTATGTCCTCCCCACTCATTAAGACAAACTAATTATAAGGCTAGGAGATACTATACTTAGGAAAATAATACATAAAGGGAAAAATTTTCCATTAGCAACCTGAATGCCCCACACCTCAAAGCAATGACAGGAGTTGTACAGCTCCTTAAAATATCTGAGCCGTGAAGAATCAGTGAGCACCTAGTGAAAAGGCTGTACAAAAAACGTGCAGAAAGCCCACATGTTCTTGTCTTATTCACAGACTCAGAAAAAGGCAATGAAAGGTAAAGAAATGATACGGCTCACAGCAGTGTTCATACCATCAGAAAAGGAGCTGAACAATTCTAGCAAGGCAATTTTAATTCAATTCTTTAATTCAACAACTATTTTCTAAAGAGGTTTTTTCTTACATGTTCTCCGTGTACAACAGAACAGACACACACCTACTGAATAAGAAAAGGCATGTTTCTTGCATATATAACAAATTCAAGCAAGCATGCAAAGTTTTTCATCTGTTGTCTCACTTTGGATGGGATGGCATCCTATTAAACTAGGGATATTCAGGTAAAAGAAATGTGAATAAATCCTCCATGAGGGCAGAAACCTTACATCTTGTTCATCGACCTGTTCCCAGCATCTGGAACAGAGTCTGGCACACAGTAGGTGTGCAGTATTTGCAGACTGACTAAGTGAACAGACTCTACCTTTGTGTTCCTGCCTTTGGGTACATACTAGGGACAAGCAGGTGCACTGACAAGAAAACTGGTCAGGTCAGGTGGGGTTTACGTGATTCCTGAAAACTCTGTGGAAATCATGGCTAAAACCTGATTCAGTAGCTAATGTCATATGAGAGGCTGATGCATGAAAATAAGTTCAATTCGGCAATTAATTACTGAGCCATTATGTTTGTGTTCACACATTTCAGGAATCTGCTCAGCTTTATTACCGAGAACAGCCATCTCCTCCATTCCAATTCCTTTCCCTCTGAACTCTCCTCAGCCTACAGCAACCTGTTACCTGCTCCCAGCGCTGCACTGGCCAAGGTGAGCAATGGCTCCAGCTGCCAAGCCCAACAGACACCTGATGTGTCAATGGCATCAGCATGGGTAAGCTGTCCCACACTCTCACTCTCCCACTCTGGCTGCTGCATTAACGTGCTCAGTTCTACTCTACCTGACACCTGCATGCACTGGTCCCTTAGCCTCAGCCTAGGCCTCTTCTTCTTCGTTTTCACTATTTTGGTTTTATTAAAAACAAAAGGCAAGCCTGGCTGGTGTGGCTCAGTGGTTGAGCTCTGACCTATGAACCAGGAGGTCACGGTTTGATTCCTGGTCAGGGCACATGCCCGGGTTACGGGCTCAATCCCCAGTAGGGGGTGTACAGGAGGCAACTGATCAATGATTCTCTCATCACTGATGTTTCTGTCTCTCTCCCTCTCCCTTCCTCTCTGAAATAAATAAAAATATATTTTAAGAAAAGGCAAAACTTACATGTAAAATAGGACCCTTGGTTTTCATCTACCAAATATATATATACTAGAGGCCTGATGCATGAAATTTGTGCAAGAGTAGGCCTTCCTTCCTCCGGCTGCTGGCACCGGCTTCCCTCTGGCACCCGGGACCCAGGCTTCCCTGGCTGCCCCGTCTTTGTCCAGAAGGT